GAAAGGGCTTCTGTCCATTTTACCTGGGGAAGCAGCTTGCAGCTGGAGGCGCGTCAACCTACTACCTCGGGCCTTTTGTCCTGACCTGGCTTTAGTCTCAAAATACCACACACTGGCAAAGCAGCTGGGGAACTGAGTTGTGAGCTGGGGCAATCAGGAAGCTGGGGCTAAGAACTCTGTGCTGCTTCTCCACTCCCACTCCTCCTAATGCTCAAACACACCCTCTGTGCTATTCCAGCCCCTGAAACAAACTTGTGAGTACTGCACTGTGCAGAACATCCCCTTCCCCAAATACGAGCTGCCAGATGAGAATGAAAATCTCAAGGAATGCTACCTGATGGAGAACCCCCAGGAACCCGATGCCCCCATCGTGACTTTCTTCCCACTCATCAATGATACTTTCCAAAAATACAAGGCACCAGGTGAGCTGCCTCTGCACTCAGTTCCCAGCACCCACTGCCCTTGGCCCGGGAGTGCCTTTAGATCTGTAGAGTCTGCTAAGAGCACTAACGGGGAAGCTTGGCTCAGCTCCAGCCTGAGCCAATTTTGGCTTTCACAAAGAAGGGCCCCTCCCCTTCCCTCACCCCCATGGGCTGGTAATGTCATCCCCTCTTCTGTCAGTCTTTCTACATTTTCTGACATTCAGCCATGTGCCCAGTACTGTGCTTGGTGCTAGGGCAATCCTCCAGTGGGCAAGCCCGTACCCTGCCCTGAGGAGCTTGCTGGTGTGCAGGTGTGTGTGGAGGGTGTGCGTGTGTACACATTTTCATGCAGGTGTGTGTGTCCGTGAGTGCAGGTTAGTGGGCCTTGGGGAGAGATGTGGCAACAAGTCATTCCAACCTAACATGACAGAGTCTATAACAAGTCCTCCTGCTGCCCGCAGGTGTGGAGCGAAGCCCTGAGGAGCTAGAGCAGGGCCAGGTGGACATTTATGGTCCCAAAACTCCGTATGCCACCAAGGAGCTGACGTACACAGAAGCCACCTTCGACAAGCTGGTGAAACTCTCAGAGTACAACATCCTGAATAATAAGGACACTCTCCTCCAGGCTCTGCGGCTCGCAGTGGAGAAGAAGAAGCGCCTGAAGGGCCAGTGTCCCTCCTAGGCCCCAGGGAGTCTCCCTTATTCTGTGTCAGCTTCTACCGCCAGAGGCACAGGACCCATCAGGGCTGACCAGGTTACTACGCAGCCAGCTCTGCTCTCTGGCAATGGGTGTGAGCAGGTTGGCCTGGGCTTTCTAATGAAAAATAAAAATGTTTAAAAGTTAAGAAAGTCCCAGAGAGAGAGAGAGAGAGAGACAGAGAGAGGATCCCTGTTGGGGTTTTAGACCCACTAGAGTTTCTCTAGGTGTTTCCCTATAGAGAAGGTGGTCTCATAGCCACAGGCTCCTACATGTCTGTGGAGAGGAAAAGCCTGAGGAAGAGGCTGGGCCCCCAGAAACCTCGACTCAGAGGCAGAGCCCAGGGCCGGCAGCCCTCCTCTCTTTGCCCCCCACCTCATGTGGCAGGCCTAGAGAAATGCACAGGAGGACCTGAGGGCACTCTGCATTTCCCTGGAAAAACACTCTAAAATTTAAGGCGGTTCTAGTCTTGTGATTTTTGGTTTTTTTAGACAGAGTCTCGCTCTGTTGCCCAGGCTGGAGTGCAATGGCACGATCTTGGCTCACTGCAACCTCTGCCTCCTGGGTTCAAGCAATTCTTCTGCCTCAGCCTCCCAAGTAGCCAGGATTACAAGCACCTGCCACCACACCCAGCTAATTTTTTGTATTTTTAGTAGAGACAGGATTTTGCCATGTTGGCCAGGCTGGTCTCGAACTCCTGACCTCAGATGATTCACCCGCCTCGGCCTCCCACAGTGCTGGGATTACAGGCATGAGCCACCGCGCCTGGCCCTAGTCTCGTTATTTTTATAGGCAATTATATTTCGTGATTTTTATTTTTATGAATCGGGGTATTAATAGGAAACATGAAGCTAGAAGATCTGGATGGAGCCCTAGAGATAAACCAGTCTCTGCCACAACAAACCCAAATAGGTGGCCGGTTTCAGTGGCTCTCTCCAGCTACTCAGAGCTCCAGGGCTGGTGATCCATGTGATCATGACCAGGCAGCCATGCCCAAGCATCCAACTCCAAAGAAATGCCAGGCAAAGCCCAAGTCTACAGTCCAGGTTCACCAAATGAGGATCTGGGATGGAGTTCGGCAAGGTCAGGCAGGCTGCAGGTAAATGAGGTTGGGTGCCAGGCGGGTGATGCATCCAGCACTGCCCACTCCAGCTGTCGGTGCCACTGACGACCCTGCTCCAAGACTGTCTCTCAGCCTCTTACCGCCCATCTCTCTGGCTGCCAGACGGGATTACTTATTTCTAATTGTAATTCCTTTTATCTGTCATGTCACCACCATGGCCAGTGATTCAACCTTGGAGAGTCACCCAGAGAGACTGAAACTAGGAAGCATTAGTCAAAAAGGACTAGGTTAGTCCTCAGAGGAAGAAGCCCATCCTTGAAGACTGCTTCCTAATGAATCTCTGGGAAAACCGTGGGACACAGAGAAGCCCAAAGTCAGCAGGTCTCCCTTCAGACTGGGAACGTAACCAGGGAAATGCATAACCGGAGCCATGGACAGGCTCGGGCTGATAGAAGGTGAAAGCAGAAAGGCAGAAAGACAGGAGGTCTGCAGGAAGCCCAGCAACCCTGGAAGGCGGAGTCCCCTTTCTGGGCCACCACGCTCCCTAAGCAGTCTTTGGGTTGTGAGGAAACCAGTGGTGACAGGTACCAAAAGTTTAGAAAAATTGGCCTCCGATGTACATCCTTGCTACTCAAAGTGCAGTGGGGAGCTGGTTGGAAATGTGGAAGCTCAGACCTCAGCCCAGCTGTACTAAATCAGAAGCTGCGTTTTCAGGAGATTCCCACCCCCATGCCCCCCGTGATTCCTATGCGTACTAAAGTTTGAGAGGCATGGATTTATGCCACTCCCTCCCATGAGCTTGGAAAGTATGAATCAGTGCTCCCTTGAGCCACTGATAAACTGAGCTCTGGACCTGCAAAACTGGTCCCCACCCAGGAAATGCTAACCTGGGACACCAGCCCTCCCCTCCACCAGAGCAACTGGCTGCCTCCACTTTGACATCTTTTCTTTCTGACTGTAACAGACTCTCCTTCAAGTACCAAAGAGTGAGCCAAGCAACAGACAGGACTTGCTTATTGTAAGGTGAAGGCAGCCACGCCTTGGATTCATCAAAAGTTTGTGAAATGAGGTTCATAAAATCATCATATTATTTGTGCATGGAATAAAATGGCCACATGGGTGAATGCTGCTGACTCATCTGCTTTCATTATCTGATGCTGCAAAATATGCATAACCCTGCCCTCATCCCTCCAGGCTTCCTCCTCTCCACTCCTGGGGGAGTGAGTAGGCCATTTCCATCCCATCCCACCTCTTCTCATGCAGCTTTGTTTCCTACTGCAAGGTTCTCTTCTTGTGGTGAGGTGCTCCTCCATTTTCATGAAGCCATGTCAACAACTAGTGGGGCACCAGCTCGTACAGATTCATCCTGTTCCAAGCTCAGGTATATTTCAGGAAACATTGCTTGCGAGGAAGCAGAGGCAATTAACACCAACAACGCACCTATTTTGTGCACAGCAAGCTGTAAACAGTCTCTGCTTTCCAAGAACTTACATTCCGGTTCGGGAGAAAACCATAAAAAGATTGTTATGCACACATGAGAAGTTAAATGATGAGTTGGCTACGGAAATGACTAAAGTGTCATCAACTCTGACAGGGCAAGCGCACGGCGTCCTGCCGAAGTCAGGGGAGGCTTCCTCCCCGGTTCCCTGCTCTCTGCCTATGATGAAGATGATGAAATTGACAAAATAAATGAAACCCCTCCCTCCTTGTCTCCGCTCTTTCTTCCCAAAAGAGCAGCCAGTACCCTACCCGCTCCCACACGCCAGTTACCCTGTCCCTGCTGCCTCCCCACGAAAACACTTCCCAAGGTCACCAATGGCCTCCTCATTGCCAGATGCACTGAGCCAAACCCACCAGTCCTGTACAGTCCTTATCTGACTTGATTGTTCTCAGTGTTTGCACCGCAGACCACTCCCTCCTTCTGGAAACCTTCCCTTCCCAGGACTTCCTTGCCAAAGCAGTTCAATTCAGTTCAGCTTGCAAATAACTACTGCCTGCCCATTACATGCCAGTCACTGTTGTAGGCACTGGGGCCATAAGAAGAATTAACAATTGATCCCAAACTTTAAGGAGGTTCCTTCTGGTCCCATGGGGGAGGCCCACATGTAAAACAGAGCCCTTGTGATATGAAGAGAAAGCTGCATGTTAGCTGTGTCCAGAAGAGGCATAGGAAGGGCTCCCAACCCAGCCACAGAGGGCAAGAGGTCAGGTTCACTGAACACCTTCTGTCTCGGGTTTCTTCCCCTGGAAAGGTGGGAGCCCCTCCTCTGGTCTCTCTTTTAACTGCTGCCATTCCTCGAGGCTCCTTAGCTCTTTCCTCTTCTCACTCCGTACTCCCCTTAAGCAATTTCATTTATACCCAGGACTTCAACTACTGCTTCTAATTTGAAAATTCTTAAGCTTTTAGCTTTAGCCAAGCCAATCTCTCGAGTTCCCCATGAATTCTAGTTCTGTGCCTATGCGCAATGCTTTTGTCATATAACCTGAGGATCTAAAATTACAGTGGCTTAAACAAGAGAGAAAGTTATTTCTGTATTATCAGAGACCAAAGCTCCTTTCTGCTGTCTTCTGTCATCCTCAAGATTACCAGCTGGTCCAATATTGCTGCTGGAGCCCCACCCATCATGTCCACATTCCAGGCAGCAGGAAGGATAAAGGAATCTGCGTTCTTGCTGACTATAAAGTGACCAAACTCGTCCTGGACTGCCTATTTCTGGACTTCTTCTCTGTGAAAAAGAACTAAACTTTTATCTTAAGATAGTAGGAATTACCAGCTGTTCCAGTTTTCTACTGCTGAGCATCAAAAGCCCTCAACGTATAACGACATAAAATAACCACCAGTTTATTATGCTCACAGATTCTGTGGGTCAGGAATTTGAAAAGGGCATAACTGCTCCATGTTTGGGGCCACAGCTCAGATGATCTGAACTGCTGGGGAGGACTCAAATGGTTGGGATCTGGAAACAGCCTAGGCTGAAGGGCCCACATCCAACGACTCTTTCACTCATGTGTCTGGTGCCTGGGCTGGGAAGTCTGAGAAAAATGAAAGGCAGTCCCAGCTAGGAGTGTCAATCAGAGCACCTTGGTGACCCCAGCATGATGGACTCAGGATGGTCAGTCTTCTTAAATGGCACGCAGGGTTCCAAGAGTGTCTGTTACAGTGGCAGCAGCATGGCCCATTATGACTTAGCCTCAGAAGTTACGTAGCTCCACTTCCATGGAAATCTACTGGTAGAAGTAGTCACAAGTCAGTCCAGATTCAAGGGGAGGGGACAATGAGCCCATCTCTGGTTGGAGGGCATGTCAAGAACTATGCAGCCATATTTTAAATTCCAGCTACAATATCTGAATCCTTAATATTGACCTTCCCCCTTGTCCACTGAGCACATGTCACATTTTAGGTTCTCTTGTGGCAGACTCTGTTTCTGGTAACACATTGATTATTGGTTAGGAATTGCATGTTTATTTCTGAAAAATGGTGGCTTAAACACACTCAGGTAAAAGACATCCACAGGAAGGCAGTTCAAGGCATTTCTGCAATTCATCAGGGACCCTGCTTCTTCTGGCCCTTTGCTTTATCCACCCTTATGTGGTCCTTGGCTTCATGGGCCAGGGTGAGCCCTGGAGCTCCAGCTATCACACCCATATTCCAGGCCACCAGAAGGAAGGAAAAAAAAGATTGAACTCCTTCTTAAAGGGACATCCTGGAAGTCCCACACATCCTGCAGCTAACGTATCACCAACCACACTTGGTCTCATCATCACACTTAACTGCAGAGGCTGGAAGTTTTTGTTTTTTGCATGGGTGGCAATATGCCCACCTAAAAATCAGAGTTCTGCTGTGAAAGGACAATTTATAGGCAGCTAGCAGACTTCCTGTAAGTACCTCCTAGCCATCTCCACCTGTGTGTCCTATAAGCCCCTCCTCTGGGTAGTGGCAGTGACCTGGGCGAGTGGCCACATAGAAGGGCCATCAGCATGTGAGAGCACCAGGCCACGGCACCACTTCTGGTCTTGGCATGAGAATCCCAGGCCTTTAACCACTCTGCAATCCAGTTTTCAGAGTAAAACACTGGACTTGATCATCATTTAAAGCCAACCACTGAATGTGATCTAGAGCAAATCTTCTGACCATTATTACCAGCTTCCTAATTTCAAGCATGCATCCCATACAATAGATTTCCAAACAACTGATGGCATTCTCTTGCAGAACTACCTGTGATAGGATTTAACCTGAAAAACAACTGGATTCAGATGAAAGAGTGACTGCAATTGGGACTGTTTAGTCTGAAGAAAGAAAACCAAAAAGAGTAGCATGATTTGCAAACAGATGCAACATGACTATGGCGGGGAGGATCCACCACTGTCCGGCTTCACTGAGGGCAGAGCAAGCACAAGAAAGCTGCCACTGCCCCATGAATATGCATACCTACTATGTGCCCACAAAAACAATAAATAAGAAAAAAAGCTGCCACTGCCCCATGAATATGCAAACCTACTATGTGCCCACAAAAACAATAAAATAAAAAGCTGCTGCTGCCCCATGAATATGCACACCTACTATGTGCCCACAAAAACAATAAAGAAACCTGACACTGCCCCATGAATATGCACACCCACTATGTGCCCACAAAAATAAGAAAGCTGCCGCTGCCCCATGAATGTACACACTTACTATGTGCCTACAAAAATCATAAATAAACAAGAAAGCTGCAGCTGCATGAAGGCAATCAGGGAGCAAAGCAAGATGGGACCAGTGCCTCCTCTGGGCCAGGTGCTTTTAGGACTTTCTCTTTTTTTTTTTTTCCTTTTTTAAGATTAAAGACAGTACATTTTTTATTTCCTGATAATTTTTTCTGCTTTTATAACAGGAACATGATGACTATGTAACATTTGAAAAATGCTACCGCTTATAAAGAGGAAACTAAGATCATTTACCAGTCCAAAACTCAGACATCATTATTATTTGGGGCTTTTTCCTTCCCATCTTTTTCTCGGATACTTTAAACTTCTTTAAACAAAAGTACAAAAATCCTGTACGTCCACTTTAAAAGAAGTGTGGTAAAAAATACGCACACAATTTGCCATTTTAATAATTGTAAGTGTATAGTTCAGCAGTGTTAGGCATATTCACACTGTTGTACAACAGATCTCCACAACTTTTTCATTTTGCAGAACTAAACTCTATACCCACTGAACAACTCCCCATTCTCCTCCCTCCAGCCACTGATAACCACGATTCTACTTTCTGCATCTGTGAATTTGAGTACTTTAGAAACCTCATATGAGTGGAAGCATACAGCATTTGGCTGTTTGTGACTGGCTTATTTCACTTAGCACAATGTCCTCAAGGTGCATCTGTGTTCCAGGGTGTAGCATGTACCAGAATTTACTTCTGTTTTAAGGCTGAATAATATTCCTCTGCGTGCGTGTGTGTGTGTGTGTGTGTGTATGTTACATTTCGTTTATCCATTCATCCATCAATGGACACTGGCTTGCTTCCACCTCTTGGCTATTATGAATGATGCTGCTGTGAACATGGGTAGACAAATACCTCTTTGAGAGCCTCCTTTTCTTTTAGATATATACCCAAATTGGGGATTGGTAAATCATATGGTAGTTTTTGTTTTGTTTTGTTTTGTTTTGTTTGAGACAGTCTTGCTCTGTCACCCAGGCTGGAGTGCAGTAGCACAATCTTGGCTCATTGCAACCTCTACCTACCTCCCAGGTTGAAGTGGTTCTCCTACCTCAGACTCCTGAGTAGCTGGGATTACAGGCACCCGCCACCACGCCCGGCTAATTTTTGTATTTTTAGTAGAGATGGGGGGTTGTCATGTTGGCCAGGCTGGTCTTGAATTCCTAACCTCAAGGGATCTGCCTTGTCCTTCCAAAGTGCTGGGATTACAGGCATGAGCCACTGCACCCGGCCAGTAGTTCCATTTTTAAATTGTTGCAGAACCTCCATATTGTTTTCCATAGCAGCTGCATGTACATTCACTTTTGTAATCTAGCTTTTTTCCACTTAAAAATATATTCTGAGCATTTTTCCACATCATTAATTTTAAACCACATAGGAATCCATAATTTGCTTAACTAATCCTCCATGATGATAGATAGCTCCATGCTGACAAATGTCCTCTTAGATAAAAATTTACATTCATCATTTCCTCAGTATAAATACCCTCAGGATAAATTTCCTCAAGATAAAAATTCCTGAGTCAAAAAGTATGACCATATTTAACAACTAATCAAGGTGTAATCAACATATGATCAACTGCACATATTTAAAGTTCATTTATCCCTGAGTCCAGGACCCCTGGGGATACCAAAACCATGGACGCTCAAGTTCCTTATATAAAATGGTATTGTATTTGCATATAGCCTAAGCACATCCTCCACATACTTTGTTTCAAACTTAAAACGCCATCCATCATGAACCCATATACTTTAAATCCTACCTAGATTACTTATTATTAATGTAGATGATAAGAAAATAGTTGTTACACTGTATTGCTTAGGGAATAATGAAAAGGAAAACCGGTCTGTATGTGTTCAGTACAGATGCAACCATCCATTTTTTCCCCAAATATTTTCCATCTGTGGTTGGTTGAATCCATGGATACAGAACACACAGATATGGAGGATCTAATGTACATAACTTGATGAGTTTTTACATATGTATACAATGGTGAAACCATCACCATAATCAAGGTAATGAATAAACCCTTCAGCCCCAAAACCTTCTAGTGCCTTTTGCAATCCTTCCCTCTGCTCCTCCCCAGCTGGGTCATGTGGTAAGTGTATGTTCCACTTTTTGAGAAACTGCCACACTGTTTTCCAAAGTGGTTGTACCATTGTACATTCTGACCAACAATGTGTAAGAGTTCCAGTTGCTCCACATCCTCATCAAGATTGGCATGATCAGTCTTCCTAATTTTAGACATTCTAATAGGTATGTAGTAGTATCTTGCTGTGGTTTTAATTCACATTCTCCTAATGACCAACATTGTTGAACATCTCTTCATGTAATTATTTGCCATCCATACATCTTTTGTAAAATATCTGTTTAGATCTTTTTTCCATTTTTTAAAATTGGGTTTTTTACTATTAAGTTTTAAGAAGTTTTTAAGTATTCTGGATACAAGTCCTTTATCAGATATGTGATTTGCAAGTATATTCGGTGCCTTGTCTTGTCTTTTCATTCTCTTCACAGTACTTTCAAAGGTCAGAAGTTCTCGTTTGATGAAATCCAATTTACCAACTTTTTTTTTTTCCTTTAAGGATTGTGCTTTTGGTGTCATCTAAGAAATCTTTCCCTAACCCAAGGCCACAACAATTTTCTCCCATGTTTTCTTCTAGACGTTTTATAATCTTAAGCTTTACATTTAGTTCTACATTTATATTAGTTTTATGTCTAGTTCCATTTTGAGTTAATTTAATGATGTGTCAATTTAGGTTAGGTTTATTGATTGTAACGAAAGTGCACTTGGTGCAGGATGTTGACAGTGGAGGAGGCTGTGTGTCAGGGAGGGTGGGGGTATATGGGAACTCTCTGTACTTTACGCTCCATTTTGCTGTGAACTTAAAACTGATCTGAAATTCACAAGTCATTATCACTTACATTCACTCTTGGTGTTGTACATTCTGTGGGTTTTGGCAAATATCTAATGACATGTATCCATCATTATAGTACCATACAAAGCAGAGCCACTGCCATAAAAATCCTCTGTTCTCTGCCTATTCATTCCTTCCTCCTCCCTAACACGTAGAAACTACTGACCTTTTTACTTCCTCCATAATTTTGCCTTCTCCAGAATGTCATAAAGATGAAATTGTACAGTACATAGCCTTTTCAGATTGACTTCTTTCACTTAGTAATAGGCATTTAAGTTTCCTCTGTGCCTTTTTATGGCTTGATAACTCATTTCTTTTTAGTGCTGAATAATATTCCACTGTCTGGATGTATCACGGATTATCCTTTCACTTACTGAAGGACATGTTAGTTGCTTCCAATTTGGGGCACTTATGAATAAAGTCGCGGTAAACATCCATGTGCAGGCTTTTCTGTGGATATAAGTTTTCAACTCATTTGGGTAAATACTAAACAGCTGATTTCTGCATCATATGGTAAGATTGTATTTATATCAGTTTGTTTTTATGTATTCTAAAAAAAATACATTGAAGCTTTTACTTTTGTCGTCAAATATGCCAGCCTTTTCTTTCATAATTTCTGTCCTTAGTGTTGATTAGAAAGGCGTTTCCACCCCAAAACTGTATAAATCTCTTGTACCTTCCTCTGGTAGTGCAGTGGTTTCATTTTATTTTTACATTTCAGTCTTTGTTTTATTTTGACACAAGGCAGATGTCTAACTTTATTTTCCCTTGGCTTTCTTTTCACTTCCCTAGTTACATACAATTCCCTCCAACTATGTGACCCACACAACAATCCCAAAGGAGTTTCCATTTTGCTCATAAGGAAACTAATGCAGAGAGGTAACTCATCACATTTAAAGTCACACAGCCATTAATTCACACAGTCAAGATTCAAACCCAGATCTTTTGTTCTCTCATACGCAAAGTATGGTCCATGGATGGGTAGCATTGGCTATACCCAAGAGCCTCTTAGAAATGTGGAGTCATGGGCCCCATCCCATACCTACCGAATCAGAATCCGCATTTCTGTTAGGTTGGAGAAGCACTGCAGTGTGTACTGTTTCCCCAGACTTAGACCACATCAGAGTCACCTAGGACATCTGTTGAGCTCCATCTCTCCTCAATATTTTAACTCAGTAGGTCTGGACTGAGGACTAGGAATCTGTATTTTAACAAGCATCCCAGGTCATAAATGCATATATGCAGGTGGCCCCATGGATCACACCTGAGAAATGCTCTAAAACAACTGAGAAATATTCCTAAGCTACAGCTGAGGACACAAAAGGTGATTATTTCCCCCAATCTCAACTTAGATAAGTGAGTGTCCTTTTAACCTAGAAAAGAAACAGCGAGGCCGGGCGTGGTGGCTCACGCCTGTAATCTCAACACTTTGGGAGGCAAGGTGGGCAGATCACCCCAGGTCAGGAGTTCAAGACCAGCCTTACCAATATGGTGAAACCCCATCTCTACTAAAAATACAAAAATTAACTGGGCATGGTGGTGAGCGCCTGTAGTCCCAGCTACTCAGGAGGCTGAGACAGGAAAACTGCTTGAACCCAGGAAGTGGAGGTTGCAGTGAGCCAAGATCGTGCCCCTGCACTCCAGCCTGGGTGACAGAGCAAGACTCCGTCTCAGAAAAACAAAAACAAAAAACAATAACGACGACAACAACAACAAAACAGCTAGGAGGTGACAATAACTCACATGTCAATATGTGGAAATAAAGTTGTAATAATGAGGATAATGTAATAATGAGAGTAATGACTAAATTTTCGGCTTTACAGAAAATCAAATAATGAAAACTAAGGGGAAAAGGCCTTTAGTTGATCCAGAATTTAGTGAGGGCAACATGGACAAGTAGGAGACACAGCTACTCAAATAGATTCCAGTCTACTTCCCCTCCTTAAGATTGTGTCAATTATGCCCATGAGCCTGGGTCTCTTGGCCTGTAAAATGGGCTCATACCGACCCGCCCCCGGGAAGACAGAACCTGCCTGTCCACTTTCTGAACTTTTCATCCCCAGGATCGACGTCCAGAGGCCTGAATGAGTAAACGTTCCAGCAGATGGAGCAGCCTCCGGAGGCTTGCTTTGGGCAGCTCAGATTTACCCGGAAGCCGATGCCACCTGGCCAGAGGTGTGGCTTCGGCAACCAGAAGGGGGCCCTGGGTATGACCGGTCAGTGCCACCCGGCCGGTGAGACACCATCGCCCCGCCCAGTCCTCCAGACTGACTCCGTCATCAATAATTCATTAAGAACCTCCTCTCCATTGGCTGACGCCTTCAGTCCTCCCTGGCAGAGATCCAATCAGGAAGGACCTGAGAGAGCTCTTGTGAATAGTGAGCGAGCGCGCGTGACGTAGCGGCCGAAGATTGGCTGTGGCAGCACAAGGCGGGGCCGGGTTCGGGCGGCGGCCGGCGCGGCCAGGGCGGCTCAGTGCGAGCCGGGTAGGGTCGAACCCGGAGCAGGGTCCCAGCCGAGCGTGGACTGGCGGCAGGATGTTCAGCTGGATGGGGCGGCAGGCGGGCGGGCGCGAACGCGCGGGCGGCGTTGACGCGGTGCAGACGGTGACGGGCGGGCTGCGCTCGCTCTACCTGCGCAAGGTGCTGCCGTTGGAGGAGGCGTACCGCTTCCACGAATTCCACTCGCCTGCGCTGGAGGACGCCGACTTCGAGAACAAGCCCATGATCCTGCTGGTGGGCCAGTACAGCACCGGCAAGACCACCTTCATCAGGTACCGCCGCCGCCCCTCGCCGGGCTCCCGCCCCGCTCCGCCCTCCCCACGTGTGCGCCGCGGTCGGCCGCCTCCCGCCGCTGCCCCTCCCGGCCGGCGCGACCTCGGGGACCCCTCCCGGAGCTCGGCGCCCGTTGCTCTGGGCCCCGCCCCTGCTCGTCGGCCCCGCGCGCTGGAGGGTCCCGCGAACCCGCGCCCTGCGCCCTCCGAGCCCTCCTTCCTTGCGGTTCGGAAGGCGTTGCTCCCGCTGGCCTTGTCCCGTCGCCCTGGCCGGAGGGTCCAAGGGAGGGAAGGGGCGCGAGCCGTAATCAGCATCTTCTTGACGAGGGAGTGACTCCTAGGGATGGAAATGGGGGGAAAGGCGTGGAGTATCCGAACGGGCTACAGAGTCCTAGTTGGAGAGTTTGTTCAACTATTCATTTGTTTAACTATTTCTTGAACAAATGAATGGCAGCAGGAGAGGGTATCGCCCTGGTCCCCTTCCCTTGAGGTCTTTACGTGCCACCCCACAGTGTTGTGGGGAGGAGATAAAGAGGCAGCCTCCGTTCCGTTCGTGCACAGGTTCCGTTCGTGCACAGCCTTTAGCTGGCTGTAGGAAGTGAGCTGCGTGTAGCAGCCGCACCAGCCTGTGGAACTAAGGGGGAGTGTCATATTACTATTTGTTAGTTTCCATTTCTTAGGTGGGTCATCCCCTCCTCGCTCATCCTTGACAACTGAAAATATTTGTCATGCTTACCGTGTTTCTGAAAGCACACAATCACTGTGCATGCCTTGTGGTTCAAATCATATAGTTTCATCAGAAGTGACTTTTGCTGGGAAATAATTTAGACGGAAACAGATTGCTTTGTTAATCACCTGTTTTATTTCTAAAGCAACCAGCATATTTAGACTCATTTTTTTTTGGTAAGAAGAACTTGTTTTTCTGACTTAAGCCGTGTATCAGTTGAAACCAAGTGCTGATCATTTAAGGTTTTGGTCCAAGGTTTTGGAAATTGTAACAATATCTTCATCATTTGATGTTCAACAGGTGTTCAGAAAACTGCATCTATATTTGGATACATGCCATTTCTGTTAAGTAGCGACCTCTTTTTCTCCACTCCAGTGACCTAAATAGTTCCTACAAATAGAGTAGCTGTCACTACAGGAAATATGTTAAATCCAGGCCTCCAGATACACTGCAAATGAATTCCGCAAAACAAATATAGTGTGTATTGAAATGACGTTCTAGACAATTAAATTGAGTATGAAGGAAGACCCAAAGAAAGTAAGTTCAAAATTGCTTTATTTGGTGCTTATGAGTAAGATAAAAATAGAATTAAATATGTCACCCAAACACTCAAAATGAACCATAGCTGTATTACAGGAACTGACATCTTGAAAGATGACAAACAGATGTCACATTTAAGGTCTCAGTTAGTTTTCAGGTACTTGAGATAATAGTGTTATGGCCAAGTGGTACAAGGATGGGAAGTGGTACTGTTGAAACATGCAAAGAGGAAAGGCATATATTTTTGTAATTTAGTGGTGGCATGTCCTCGCACCCTAGGCATTTCCTCCTGTTTGTCTGTGCTGTGAGATCCTTGTTGTGCCCAGCTGTCATCAGGGAGCACTTGCTAGATGCTGTGCCAACCTGGAGATGATACAGCCCTCTCTCTGCTCCCGTAGACTGGATAGCTAGCCAGCCTGATTATCAACTCACAGGAAGATGAACACAACTCACAGGAACATAAATTTATCTTTTGTATTTTTCCAGATTTCTCTCTCATTATATTCTCACTCTTCTGTCTGTTTCATTATTTGGAGAAATTTGTGGAATAGCTAAGCACAGTTTTATGAAGCGTTCTGAGATGTGATGCCTGGCAGCTACCTCATCCAAACTGGCCACCTCTCAGTAGGTGCTGGAGCTGTGGGCCACCGTAGGGTGAGGGAAGAATCACCTTAGTAGGAAGTCATTTGTTCTTGAGGCTTTCCTCGAGCTAAGTGGCTTTGTTGTTAGGCGATGTACACAAGGTAGACCAATGAGGTTAGAAGAAAATCAGTGTGGGCAGGAAGCTTGGTGAGGCCACAGGCGACCTGAATTGCTTTTCAGATTGGAGCTAGGAGGAAGTGATTTAGCACCCGGGAGGAAATCCCCAAACGAAAGGGCAGCTACCCTGGAGACTTGTGCACTTGGAATTAAATATCGCCCCAGACACTCAAAATGAACCGTGGATTCATCTTGAGTGGAAGTGTTGGCCCAGGGTGCTGAGCATCCTGGATCCTGCCTTAGTTAGAGCCTGGTTAGTGGTCTGGGTTGTTTGCTTCTCGTGACTGGGCACTAGAAGCTCTTACTTGGCTGTAGGGTGTACCTAATCTACATAGCCATAGATTCTTATCTCCCTGGCTTCCTGCACATTCCAAGAGGTCACTGATGACACAGAATCTGTGCTGACCTGGTGGGAAGCTTCTCTTATTGCTGTTGGCTCTTCTACCTTTGACTGGCAATGAAGAATTGGCCAGAGAATGAGGGGAGATGGGCACGGGGAAAAGTGACCATGTCATCTTAGACTCTGTACTAGCCAAGGAAGCGTGGATATGGAGCTCAGCCAGGCTTGTGTCCAAAACTTGAGGAAAACAGATTTCAAAGATTCCTCCAGAAAATCCCTGGGCCCAGGTGCTGTGAAGGAAGACATTTCCACTGAAAAAGTATAAGTCCATTTGAAATGAAATCGAACTACACTTTTTTTTTTTTTTTTTTTGAGATAGAGCTTTGCTTTTGTTGCTCAGGCTGGAGTGCCATGGCACGATCTTGGCTCACGGCAACCTCCCCCTCCCAGGTTCAAGCGATTCTCCTGCCTCAGTCTCCCGAGTAGCTGGGATTACAGGCATGGGCCACCACACCCGGCTAATTTTGTATTTTTAGTAGAGACGGGGTTTTTCCATATTGGTCAGGCTGGTATTGAACTCCCAACCTGAGGTGATCTGGGTTATTTGCTTCTAGCGATTGGTCAATAAAAGACGCCTGCCTTGGCCTCCCAAAGTGCTGGGATTACAGGCGTGAGCCCCCGCACCCGGCCCCAAACTACACATTTTTAAAAGCTCCACTTTCTCCCTTCCTATGCTCTGTCCCCTCTCCCCAGAAAACTTATTCTAATGAGGAAAAAAGAGAGAAGTCACTCAAGAAACTATATAGGCTTTAAAAGGGTAGAGAGCAGGGAAATAAGGCAAGAAAAGAAATAAAAGACTCCCAGACTTGAGAGAAAAAAGTAAAACTCTTTGCAGATGACATGATCTTCTGTGTAGAGAATCCTAAGAAACCACTTTAAAACTATTAGAACAATGGGGGAAACAATAGTTCAACAAATGGTGCTAGGACAACTGGATAGCCACATGCAAACGAAACAGAGAATGACCGTTAGTGGGCATGGGGTTTCTCTTTGATGTGATGAAAATGTTCGGAAATTGGATAATGATATTGGTTGCACAACTTTGTGAATATACTGAAAACCAGAGGGCACCTTGTAAACGAATAAATTTTCTGGCATGTGAATTATATCTCAATAAAAAACCAAAACAATTCAGTCTTTCAACACTCAGCGTCCTATGATTTATTTAATTTTCATGATTCTGCAACTAGCACCAGCCAAGTCATTTCTGTATGTATGTGTAATAATTCAAAATAGAAATGGATGCCAGAAAGAAAACAAAGTAGAAATAAGCTAAAAGAACCCAAGGACAAAGGAACTAAAGAGTAAAGATGAGGGGCCAGGTGCAGTGGCTCACACCTGCAGTCCTAACACTTTAGGAGGCTGAGGCAGGTGGATTGCTTGAGCTCAGGAGTTCAAGGCCACCCTAGGCAACATAGTGAGACCCCATCTCTACAAAAATTAAAAAAAAAAATAAAAGGAGTAAAGATGAGGGAAAAGGGAGTGAAAGTAACCATCCCACAATCCCTATATGTTTCCACTAGTAATCTTGTCAGTGTATAAACATGTTCATTGTTCATAACACTCAAGTTGGTAAAATCAAAGTATGAAAAAAAATTTTAATAAAATGCTTGATACCATAATTGTGTTTAAAAACTTTAAATATTAATATTTAACTATAGTGTTAAATAGGGGAAAAAAGGGGCAGGGGTACATGTGCAAGGATGCAGACAAGGTTTATGGGTGGTATGAAGGATCAAGAAGCTGGAGTGGGCCGAGAGGGTGAAAATGCCTTGGACATTAAAAAGCCTTTTAAGGTATGATTAGAACAAGAACAAGAATCAGGAAGTGATCGGCCCACTGCTTGGGCTCTTGCTGCAATATTAACAGAAAGCAGAACTACTCAGCTTCCTCCTTGTCTTCAAAGAAAATGCCCCAGAGATGGCAGAAGGGAGCCCAGCTGTGTTCAAGAGGGGAATAAAACCAACAGACTGAGGAACTCTCCCAGGGCCTGCCACAGGCGAGGCTCAGGAAATCTCTGGCCGGACACATGGATGAAAGAACTTGCAGTTCTGCTCAAAGAACTGTATTTGGTGACTTTTAAGAAATTGTGAAGAATATGAAAAGTATTGGAAAACTGGAAGCAGGCAGATGTTCTCATTTTCAAAAAAGAGGGGAAATGGATTCTGAATAGAAACAAAGGCCTGCTTCATTCCCTTGATAAGTTTCCAGACTCAGTAATTAAGGAAAAGGGAAGTGAAGGCATTCACTAACAGGCAGCCTGGTTCGTCTGTTTTTTAAAACATAAAATCTCACACAGAAAAACTATGGTCCTATTTAGTGGTTCTCCCACTCATCCAGGTACTGGGGCTCCTGAAAATCAATCTTCTGTCCCAAATACTCTACCCTTTACAGATCTCTCTAAAATATTGAGATATTTTATTTTTATAGAAAATTAGACTGTATTTTCAATATGCAATGTAAGATCACACCTACAGATGCTAGTGTTCATTTATTCAAATGATACTGATTTCAGGGTTGGGGCCAGCCATCACAGAAAAGAGTCAACAGGCCGCAGCTCTGAGTGACAACGGC